ATGAATGCTGTATATTAAATATCACAAAGCACAACATTTCTAGTTTTGAAAAAAAAAATCCCCACTGAGGCTCAGGAACTTGAGGAAGTAAACTCTTTCAGGCTAAGATGCTGCATGTCCCTTAAGGAAGCAGTTTTAGAAGGAATACACAAAGCTCAATAACCTATGAAATGTAACGGTTCAAACTCTCCTTCCCCAAGGCTCAGAACAAAGGAAAGTAAAACCTCTACAGAACTCACTGTATGTAGAACTAGCAGCTTCAACTCTTGACTGCAGATGAGCAAATTGATTTGTGATAAGACAAATCCATTTTGGGGAAATTAGAAATTTGCTTTATCATGTATATAGAGATTTTCCTTTAGTAAAAATGAAGCACTTCCTACATGTAGGCTGAGAGAAATCATGATCTGAATAATTCGCTGCTGATCATTGAAAGCTGCATACACATACAGTACAGGGTAATGACAACCTTTTAAGATTGGTTAAAAAAAATAAAAAAGGGGGTTCAGCTACCCGATATTTCACATATTAGAATGTAAAATCTTTTTTCAATGGCTTTTCTTTTTCTCTTGAGCTCGAAGCTCAGACCCCTTCCTTGGCCATTGCTGGCGCTGCCCTTCTATCTGGAGGGTGGCTACTTTTGTTCCCCATGGTTCCTGTGTTTGTTGTAAAGTAGCCAGGTTTAGTTTACTTATGTGTATTGGGATTGTAGTCCATCCCGGGAGGGAGCTTGGAGCGGTGGCTACTTTACAACACACACAGGGACCATTGGGAACAAAAGTAGCCACCCTTAGGAAGGAAGGACAGTGTCAGCACCAATTCAGAGATGATTTGAGGATCTACAGCCGAGTGATACACAAACAAGATAATTTTTTGTTAATATGGTACTTGAATGTATTTTTAAGATTTAACTCATGAGTTTAGTGTCAGTTTAACTCTTTGTAATACTCTGCAGGCTACTATGCAGAATGCAGATAACAGGATAAAAATGATTTCGGTCTGATATAATTTAGGGGATGTTGTATAAATACACAGCAGATTTGGAGCATCTTCAACCTTCAGTGAAACAAGTTGCTGATTACTGTATTATGTGGACCACAGATCTACATTCTTCTATGCCCATGGATTCTAAGAGGTCCTCCCAGGATGATGCCTACCATTATGTACACTTTGGGGTGGGTTTTCCTATCATGCGATGCCATGCAAGTCAAATCACAACAAACACGTTTGAAATGACTTAAAGGAGAACTAGCCGACCTGTGACAATGAGACTGTCACAGGTCGGCTCAGTAGATCGGGAGGTGAGCGAACACATACCAGGTTCGCTCACCTCTCGATCCAGTCACGGCTCTCTGCCGTGACAGGGGGAGGGCCGGATTCCCCTCTCCCCGCTCCGATCTGCCAGCGCTGACTGGCGGAACGGACGGGGGAGGGGGCGGGTACAGCTGGCTCTGCCTCTAGATAGGCAGAGCCAGCTGTCACTCACGCAGCTGGGCGGATCCCGTCATCTACGTCGGGATCCGCTCCGGCTGCGGCGTCTCAGTATACCGCGAGCTGTAGCTCGCGGTATACTGAGCTTAGGGTAACGGGAGGACGCTAGTTTGTGTCCTCCCGTTACCCTAAGGAGAACTATGGGGAAAAACACTGACCCCATAGTTCTCCTTTAAAGAGACCCTATCAGGCCTCTAAAGATTTAGAACCCGTGGCCCGTTTCTTCTATTTCTCTTCCATTGCAGTGTTGCAGCCTTGGAAAATCTTTTCGGCATTCAACACTTCCGGGAGGGTCCATTTAATAATCTTTTATAGCATGTTTGCAGTCTCCATTTACTACATTCATTTTCATACAAGTAACTTCATACAGGTAATTCTAAGCCTTTCACAAGCCTGGCCAATTCAAACAGAGCTTATAAGTAGAAAAGACATATGTAAAAGATACCTTTAGTTAAGCTGAGTTTCCCAAACCTCTCTATTGGTTCTTTTTTTAAAAAAAAGAGAAACTCTTAATGACAAATAGAAATGCTCCGGAAATGGGAAAAGGAGACAAGTTCCACTTTAACAGAAAAAATTGAGACTACAATATACATTT